AGATTTTTTTATTCATCATGTGCGTCTCAGGGATCCTCCATTTAATGATAACTCACATACTTTAGCTTTTCTAGAGGTGAACCCTAATCAAGTAAATATTAACTGTTTAAATTAAGAAGGCTACAAGAATCACTGCATTAATATGTGATGATCATTTGCAGGTAGGTTTAAACTTGTGCGATGTAAATGGCATCATCCACTTTTGATGTATTCAGAATTTACCTGTCTATTAATTATCTTAGAGTCTCTATCCAACTTGCCCATTACAAATGTCTATCTACCCATAAGCAAATAAAACCAATGACTGCACCACTCTGCCTCTCCAGCACATAGCGGCCTGGTGCTATTGTGTTTTATTGCTCTCTAGGATTGTTTTAGGTTAGAAGATCCTTGGGGTGGTAATTATGTATTCATCTATTTTCTATTCATTGTCAAGCACGCTGCTGGCTTTTACGAAAGGTTAAACAGTAGATGTTAGCAGCTGCCAGTGTGTCCTCTGCCTGCACTGGGAAATCCCCAATTCCAAGATCAGAGAGTTAAGCTAAAAGTTAAGAAGAATAGTTAGCTTCCGGGATCAGTCTTATCACTACAAATTCCAGAGTTTCCAGTTTTCTGAGCTGTCCCTTGAATTTCATCAATCCTCTATCATAATTAGCCACATTATGACCTTCTTTCTGTTCTTAACTTCTGTTTTGATACTAGCTGGAATTGGTTCCCAGATTGTGTCAAATGTAATCATGCTATGATTGTTTGACCCTAACAGCTCAACTTTCTAATTCAGCTTTTATTATTCCATAGATTGTGGGGATTTCCAAATTTGGAAGATTAAAAAACACCTACAATTATAAGCTTGTTTCTGAACCTCCACCTCGAAGGTTTAATTTCCTGGCAGCACTGCCTTGGTGCTGTAGTTGACCCCTTTATTAGCTCAGCTAGCTTAGCCTGGAACGTAAATAGTTTCCCAACTCTCATCAGAGTGTTTGCACACAGTAGAAATTTCCCAGTCTTCAAGAGTCCAGTCTTCTCTCTTAGGCCTACTAAATGATGTCACAGTGTTGTCTGAACACACACCCTTGTGTGTGTAGCACTCGTGACTCAGATGGAAGCAGTGTCTCATGGAGGGCTTGTGTGGTTTTTGGAGTTAACTCTCTTGTTTTATTTATCCCATCCCATTGGCGGGGTAGGATTGAGCTGGTTAGTATCTGTCACCTATCTATGATAATGAGAGATTTTGTAATTGGGGCTTACCCAGGATGGTGAGCAGAAATGGTTGACCTACTAGGTTGAAAGGGTTGGTGTGGGGGAGATTTTTTGTTTTGTTGTTGTTGTTTGTTCCTAGAGGTGGGGCTTTTTTTCCAGTGTAGTTCTGGAATGCACTCAAGAGGGTGCTTACATTGGTATTGGGACAGTAGACTTTGTGGCCTGCCCTGGAGGACCTTATGTGGGTGGTCAGCTTGGGCTCTTTACAGTTACCAACAGAGTGCAGCAATGCTGCCTGAACTGAGAAGAATTGGTACCAAGGGATTAGCTCACGCGATCCCTGTGGTTGTGGGTGGAGGTACACAAGGTGGGCCAGACTGTTTCATAAAGTGTAGACCAGATTCATGAAGTTAAAAATCTTGATTCTTGTGACTTTGCCTTTAATTATTTCTTGGACGGCTGAGTTGTCAGTGGATGAGGATGCTTGGTTCATGCTGAAGGAAGGTTGGGGTGATTTGACTAGGAATGAGGTCCTCAGTTCTGCAAATGTAACCTTTGGGTGGGCTACAGTTCACTTCATTGCCCTTCTCCAGTACCTAAAACCCCCCCCAACTCCCATAGAAAAGTAGCTGGAGACCCAGAATTCGGTCTTTAAGGATTTTAAGCAAGGATTGCACAGGGTCAACCTCCTCACATTCAAGTTCCAACAGGAACAAAAGGACTGAATTTAATTTATAACTTTATAAAATCTTATGAAACAATAAATAATACAATAGAACCTCAGTGTTATGAATACCTCAGCAATATAGGTTTTTTGTAACTCTGAAATATTTGTAACTCTGAACACAACGTTCTGGTTGTTCTTTCAAAAGTTTACAACTGAATATTGACTTAATACAGCTTTGAAACTTTACTGTGCAGAAGAAAAATGCCGCTTTCCCTTTATTTTTTTAGTAGTTTGTTTAACACAGTACTGTGTTTGCTTTTGAGGGGGGGGGTGTCTCTGCTCTTGCCTGATTGTATACTTCCAGTTCCAAATGAGGTGTGTGGTTGACTGGTCAGTTCGTAACTCTGGGGTTCTACTGTAATAATTTAATTTTAGAACATAACATGGCTATTTTATAATCCTCATACATTATCTTCACATTATACATAAATAAAGAAAACTAATTAAAACTAAACAGGTCAGTCAAAAGCAACATCTTCCCTCCATTTGCTTGTAGGAATCTTCAGCTGGAATCCATGCAAACTCTTCCTCTTCTGAAATCACTGCTAGCAAGTCAGCTAACTGATTAACCAACTACTCGGTTAAATATATAGAATTTTTTTAAAACCATTATGAGAAAATACAGAACTGAGAATAGCAAAATATAAATGATTTTTTTCTCATTATCACATTTAAAGAGAAGTTCGTGAATCAAACTGTTGAGACAATTTAACTGAAACAATTTGGCTAAAATCAAACAGCATTCAAAGTATACAATTAAAATAGAAGAAATGATTTTTCCCTCCCAATTTCCCCTTTCTATAATTAACATTGGCCATGCTTCCCTGTTGGAGGGTTAACAATGTCATTAATCTGCTGCAAGATGCTTCAGAGTTAGGGAAAACAACCTCCTTTCTGCTCCTTTCTCCCAACTCACACAGGGTACATGGCCTTTTGTAAAGCAGTTCCTCTGACCGCTTGCCCTCATGGAGTCTGATCCCAGCAACAGGGAACCTATTGGAGCATATCCAAAACTAGCAAACCCAATTCCAGAAACTTCTGGATGGGGAGTGGTAAATCTCCCTAGCAACAATGACCCAGACACAACTCACTCCTACCCCCACCCCTCATAGGTCTCTTAAAGAGATACCTCCATATTAGGCATATATGTTACACAAGTATTGCTGAAATGTGGCTGAATGATACTACTAAGTCTGTTTTAGCATAGTTGGCTCCAGCTGGTACAGTGTGAACATAGAGTGGGATTTTGTTCCCTTCCTTGCCTTAGGAAAAACTGCTATTTTTCTTTTCTTTCTTTCTTTTCTTTGTTTTTGTCTGTATTTGTTGGCTTGTATTTTTAATGTATGGCAGAGGTGTTCAGAGCCCAGACAGACACTTCTTTAAGTTTTGTATACATCTAAATTAATAAATAACAATAAAAAGGATTGTATAATGCTCCTCTAAGCAGAAACACTTTCTACTTATTTTTTGTTCTTTTTATCAATTTGTTTCTTTACTTGTTTGCTTTTTCATTCAAGTGTTTTTCTACCCCTCTTGGTCCAACCTAAAGCAAGTGACAGGTAAACTAATGGTGCACAGTATCCACTGTATTAAATCATGAGATAATCATCAACAGTATTTTTAGAAAATGTATAAATACTGTGCAAGACAGGAAAGGTGGATATCCCTTTCTCAACATGTTTTTGACCCCTCCCAATCTAGTAACTGAGAGTTGGGTATTTTTGACATAAACACATTCATGCTAAGAATGATTAGAAACCAGCTGCTAGGATGTGCTGTGCTGCTCTTTAACAATGAATGTGTTATATTCCTGTGAGATTATTTCTGAACAGTTTTTTATGCAAAGAAAATAATGGGGTATTGCAAGGTTGGGAGCTTATCCTCCTGAGTCTTATCTCTCATTGGAATCAGAACTTTGAACTAAAATTCTAGTATAGGAACCCAATCCCATATTTTTAAGTGACTGTTCATGCACATTATGATAGGATGTCTTCTTTCCTGGATGTATTTGACAACTCTTGCTTTTAACTCCAGCACTGAGGATTCTGTTGTTGGCAGTACTGTGCCCCTCTTAAAATCACAGATTGCAGGACTGAAAAATACGCCAATTTTAGAATCTGCTAAGTGTTACATTTAGCACAATGAACAGAGTGGCTTTAAGAGACGCTCTTTGAGTGCTGGAACAATAAAACTGTCCTTATTTGACTCAAAAGTCCTTCATATTGCAGTGTGTTCTGTGCGCACGTTCAGCCTAAAAAGATATATAAATATTGCCTTAATGTGTGGAAGATGGATTATTGAACATTGCTCTCTAATTTAAGTATATTGGATATATATTATTTATAATTGGTATTTTGAGTTAAATCCACGCCACAGATTATTATTTATTATTATTATTATTATTATTAGAATAGGTTTATTGCTGAAGGTTCCCAAGGCACGCCCTGGAGCAGGGGTGGGCAAGCTTTTTGGCACCACCAATCTCAGATCTCAGAACATTGCTAGCCTTTGGCAATGGTAACTTCCTACCAGTTTTTGAGGCCAGATCCCCAACATGCTCTGACTCTTTGCACCACTCCAGCAGCACAAAGGAAAAGCAAAGCCTGCCTAGCCTGCCTCTGGAGGAATCCTCCAGCGTAGACAGAACCTCTGAGTGGGGTCAAGCTGGAGTAATAGTTTGGTGTCTTTCTTCTCGCATGGCAAAGGGCTATGTCTGGAGCAACACGGTGAACCCTGATTGCTAGAATGGCTACTTCTATTTTTCTTAGCCTCTGTTTACATTAAGGGATTTGTGCTGATGCAATTACCTTAGGGTGACCAGATGAAGGGAAGAAAATATCGGGACACATTGGAGGTAGGGGGTGCCCGCCGGCAGAGCAAAAAAAAAAAAAGCCGAGTCCTGCCCCGGCTGAGCAAAAAAAACACAGCGCTGCTGGCGGATATCGGGACAAACATCGAAATATCGGGACATCTGGTCACCCTAAATTACATCAGTTTGGTTACACACCAGTGCAGACTCCTAATATAGACGGGCTGCAGTGGTGCAAAGCAGGGTTTATTGTAACTCAGTAACATGCCCAGGTAAGCATGACTGGGGTAAGCCTCGTTTTGCACCAATACAGATCTACATTAGAGTTTGGCACCAGTATAACTTCATTGTTAGACTTTGTCCACTGTGAATCTCTTTTGTGCAGACAGAGCCTTAGGTGTGATGGAATCTAAAGTGGCCTCTGGCCAGGCCTAGGTTTGGGAATTATAAAGGGGGAAGTCTTCTCACACTCATCTTTGATACTGTCCTGAGTACGGCTGGGTTGGGCTTGAGGCTTGTGCTTTTATGCAGCTGACAAAAGTTTAAGAGCCTAATCCTACAAAGTGCTTGGTACCGTCAGTTTTCTTGTTACACCAGAATCACTCCTGGAAACTCTACAAGCACATAGCGAACAGCTGATTCTGTTTGGTTTTGCTGTGCACTTACCTGTTTGTGCTTTCCTATAGTTTGTGGGTCAGCTGGGGGCCATGTACTTAAAATTTTTGCAGTGTGTGGCCTGTTTGAGAAAAAGGGTTAAATATTGAATCTTATACCTTTTTATTATCCCAGAGACCTGAAATTGGACAATATTCTTCTGGATGCAGAGGGTCATTGCAAGCTGGCGGATTTCGGAATGTGTAAAGAAGGGATTCTGAACGGAGTAACAACCACTACATTTTGCGGAACACCAGACTACATAGCTCCTGAGGTATTTTTTATACCAGACTTCACATACAAATATTGCCAGTAATCATAATTAACTGTGGTACACATGGATAACTGTATCTGTTGTATGTGCAAGGTGAAAAATGTGGGCCAGATTCTGTCATCTGCACTACTTGAATAATCCTGTTGAAATCTGTGGATCTCTACAAGGAGTAACCTACTCAGCATCAGTAGTTCGCAAAATCTGGACCTTTGGGTGTAAGGGAGGGGCAATGTCTGTGATTCTGTACTTGATAGCTGTTGAAACCTTGCTTTTAAAAGTTTCCTGTACTGTATTTGATGGCATTCTCTAGTAAATTGTTTAGCTTTGCTGGTAGCCGGTTGTCTGTCATTCTTTCGTTAGTGGGTAATAGTGTATTAGGTTTTCCCACTGAATATTTGCCCATTCCATGTTACCTTTCCTTTAAATTGAGTAGTCACTCCATATGTCAAAATACCCATGTCATACACTCCTTGCTGCAACTACCAAAAGACTCGAGCAGTTAAACATGCTCAACTTTTGCTCTTTTATCATCTAGGCTTTTGTCTTGTTCTGTACTAGAAGGTGAAGAACAAAAATGTCAAATTGAAGCTAAAGTGACCAGTTTGTTATTGCATGATGTTGTCATTTAACATTTTCCCCTAACACATGTTCCTGGCATATTGCATTATTCTTCTCCTTGTCCACATTTATGACCCTACTGCTGCTTTGAAGGTGCTTCTAAATCTTTCAGATGCTAGATGTAATTGGATGCTCCCTCCCAGCAATGACCTGTACCCAGGCCTAAAAACAGGGATATGTTCACCTGTGTAATAAGACTTACATAGATATGATCTGACACAATGTAACATACTGTAGGTATCATATTGTGTTAGACCTGTATGGGAGTATCATTGTTTCTCTGCTCTGAGGTACTGATGAGTGACATATAATAGACTCCCCTGTTCGTCCAAATGGAATGGGAAATATGCAAATTTATGCATGGATGGATTTGGACATAATTTACAATATTTGGATAAAAAAGATGACATAGCACTATGCTATTTGTAGATTACCTAGATTTTAATACCATGGATACATTTTCAAAGGTCAGTGCCTAAGCTGAGTCAGCACCATGTACATGGATTCCCTTTACAAGTACAGGCATTGGTATGTGCAAAACAAGTTCTGTACAGATTTGCCCATTCAAGTTTAGCCACCAATCCTTGTAAATTTTGTCCTGTATGTAACCCCCCTTTCTTCCCTGGGTTACTCGGAACAGGCAACACTCACCTGTGTGCCTGGGTGCCTGATGTTGTTGACATTAAAGGAGATCCTGAGTATCCCAGTGGTGACGTTGGATAGGTGGGAATCCTTTATCCACCCCTCTGCTGCAGTCCCTTTATACTAAAGGAATTTACAATTGGCAGTGCCTTCACCTGGCTGGCCCCTGTACACACTCAATGGCGTGCCTTGGGAACCTCCAGGAATAAACCCCTCCAAACAGTAATAATAACAATAACAACAACAATAATAATGATTAATAATTAAATCTGTGGCATGGGTCTAACTCAAAAATACCAATTATAAATAATATACATCCCCTATACTTAATTTAGAGTTAACACATCTTTACTTAACAAGTTAAAGAAACAGGGTATAACAGTCTAAGATTATATGTCACTACTTATTTAAATCCACAGGGGGCAGTTGAATAAAATCAATTAACAAATAAAATATACAGTAATAAATGAATCTTCTGTAACTGGCATTTGCACTGCCACCATTTACCCCACCCCGCAGTGTCCTAGATACTTGCTTGCATGGGAGCGCTTGGAGATCTGCAGCTGGAGACAGCACGCTGTTAGTTCTGTGTATCAGTCCAGCCAAGGCAACAAGCTGCACAACCCCTCTGACGATTGGAGCTGGCTTCACCACATGTCAGCAGCTCTGGGTCCTGGTTCGATGGGAAGATCACTCTACCTCTCTTCAGACTCAGACTCTCTGCTGTGCCCCTTCCCTTTCCCAAACCAGAGTGAGAGTTACTCACTCTGCCTTCACTGCAGGCCCACCTCATTCAGCTCCAGGCACAGCAATCATCTCTCCCTTGGCTCCAGTGAAGCCACCAACCTACCTCTGAAGCTCCCTGCTCAATCAAAGCCACAGCAGGCTCTCAGCAGCAGCTTCTGGGTTCCTAGCAGCAGCTCTTGGTATGGACAGAGCTCCACACCAGTAATCTGGCTCCTCTCCCCAAAAATGGAGCCCACCGCCTGCTCTCCCTGCACTGCCTGGAAGAGCAAGTCTCTCTCTCTTTCCCCAAGGCATCATGGGAGTTGTGGTCTCTAAGGCTAGATTGCAGCGCACAGGATCTTCCCAACTGGAACATTCCCAATAAAGTTCAGAGGCCCCTCTAGTAAAGGTGGCCTACATGTATCTCACACATATCGCATTTGTGCTAAGGATGCTGGGCAAAAAGTTATATCAGCATTTTTTTCATCAAACATTATTTTGCAGGGGGAAAATGTTGGTTGCTAAGTAAAGAAAAAGTGTAAATCTGTATTTTTAGCACTAGATGATATCAAGTATTGGTAGGTGCAAAGGCAAGGAAACTCATTTTAAAGCTACATAATTTGTGCCTAGGGTGGTTTGCGCAGTTTGAGAGAGCACTCCAGTAAGAAAAGGAAAGCAAAATGAGTTTGTGTAAGGTTTTGGCTTTGTGAACATTATTTCTTTACTCCACTAGGAAAAAGAATCAGAACTTCGTGGATTCTTTTATAAATTTTTACTAAATAAAAAGGCAGTACTAAACTCCTAGACATTTTCAGATGAAAATTTGGGCCCATTGAAGGTGGCAAAACTCCCATTTTCCCTTTTTGTTTGCTTCTCACCATTCCTTTTCCTCAAGCTTTCCTACTGCTTTGTCCTCTTGAGTCACCACTATATCGTTCATGTTACTTTTGATTGGCAGGATGCCAAAGTAAAAATGTGAAATCCAAAGATCATTCCCACACCAGACCATGGAGAAGTCCAATTCTGAGGACAACTTTGCAGCTGACATTTCTGTAATGTATTTCTATAATATCACAAACCAAAACATAGGGTCCAACTACCTACAGATTTTGGGGACATTTAGATCTGGATCCAAGCACTATGATTCAAATCTTAGACCAATACCTGCGCTTATATTAATATTGGATGGGTTTTATATATACAGTACAATCAGCATTCGCTAGAGCTGAGTACAATAATCCCTACCCAGAGGATTCCAGCTATAATGCTAATAACCTTTGAGTGTGTGTATGGTGGTTGCCATTACAGCTATCAACCCGGGGTCATGGTACCTTTTCTTTTAACCTGTCACCTTCTTGTGTTGATACTTTGCAGCCAAACTGCAGACTCTTTTCCAACAGACTAAAGTCAACAATTAAGCTTGTTCCTCGAATAACAGTAGCCCTGGAGTAATATAATAATAATCAATCACTCTAACCCATCCGAGGTGTCTGTTGCAAAGTTGGACTTGCTTGTGTCACACATTGGAACTTGCTACCACTACAAGTAGAAAACCTGCCAGTTTTCCCAAGAAGCAAAGATAATTAAAGCAAAGTCTACAATCTTTAGTATAGTACAGTAGGGCTGATGCTGCACGAAAGGGTATCATGTTTTCCTATTGTAAACAAAATTCTCAAAGAAGGATGCTTTTGGCTTCCAGTATTCATACTAAAAGGATTATTATAAATCTTAGCAGATCTCTGTGCAACAGGACCAACTACATCAGTGTATAGTGTTCAAGACAGGGACAATGAAAGGATGGGTTCTAAATTAATTACCACTCTAGATCTTGAGGTCTTGGTGGATAGTTCTCTGAAAAGTTCAGCTCAACATGCAGCAGTAGTCAAAAAGGCTAACAATGTTAAGAACTAGTAGGAAAGAGATAGACATTGAGGCCTGGTCTACACTAACCCCCCAAGTCGAAGTAAGGTACGCAACTTCAGCTACGTGAATAACGTAGCTGAAGTCGACATACCTTACTTCGAACTTACCGCGGTTCAGACGCGGTCCACACGCGGCAGGCAGGCTCCCCCGTCGACTCCACGGTACTCCTCTCAATGAGCTGGAGTACCGCAGTCGACGGCGAGCACTTCCTGGTTCGATTTATCGCGTCCAGACCAGACGCGATAAATCGAACCCGGAAGTTCGATTTCCAGCTGCCGAACTAGCGGCTAAGTATAGACCAGCCCTAAGATAGAAAATGTCATAATGGGACTATATAAATCCATGGTATACCCACACTTGAATATTGTATCCAGTTCTGGTCACCTGATCTCAAAAAGGATATCATGGAACTGGTAAAAGTTCAGAGAAAGGCAACAAAGATGATCAAGGGTATGGAATGGCTTCTATACGAGGAGAGACTGAAAAGATTAAGGCTATTCAGCATAGAAAAGAGATGACTAAGGGGGGATATCATAGAGGTCTATAAAATCATACATGGTGTGGAAAAAGCGAATAGAGAAGTGTTATTTACCCTTTTCCATAATACAAAAACCAGGTGTCACCTGATGAATTTAACAGACAGAAGATTTAATACAAACAAGAAGTAGTACTTTTCACACAACACACAATTAACCTATGGAACTCATTGTTATGGAATCTTGTGATGGCCAAAAACATAACTGGATTCAAAAAAGACCTTAGTAAGTTCAGGGAGGATAGGTCCATCAATGGCTATTAGCCAAGATGGTCAGGGATGCAACCCCATGCTCAGGGCGACCCTAAACCTCTGACTGCCAGAAGCTGAGAAAGGAAGGTGGGAGAGGATTACACCATCGGCCCTGTTCTGTACACTCACCCTGAAGCTCTGGTATTGGTCATTGTCAGAGACAACATACTGGGCTAGATAGACCATTGGTTTGATCCAGGATGGCAGTTATGTTCTGATTTTACATTTGCCACCACTTTTTTGCATATGCAGTAGACTTTTCCCCAACTTGGTTTAAACAATATAGAAGGCTATACAACTCTTTTACTCATGAACATGCTAGGGGAGACCAATAAACTTGGTTAATGCTTCTGAGAACACTACTGCGGGTTGGTTTTCAGTGCAACACATTGAAACTTAGCCATATGATTGATATTAATAGGAGCTGCACAAGTAAAAAGCCCACGCCTACTGCCATTGAAGTCAACAGGATTTGGCCTCTTTGAGACACTGTAGTAGGATAAGCATCTTGTGTCTAATCAATAAACATGCATCTGAAGGTATCACTCAAGTTGCCTATTAAATCTGACCTCTCTGTTTCCCTAACAGATCCTCCAAGAGTTAGAATATGGTCCCTCGGTAGACTGGTGGGCTTTGGGTGTTCTGATGTATGAAATGATGGCTGGGCAACCTCCTTTTGAAGCTGACAATGAAGATGATCTCTTTGAATCCATACTTCATGACGATGTGCTCTACCCAGTCTGGCTCAGCAAAGAAGCTGTCAGCATTTTAAAAGCAGTGAGTCTTCCATTTCTTCTTCTCTCGTTCTTCCTTTTTTTCTTTTCTTCTTTTTATTCCCTTGCTGAAAATTGAATTTACCTACAATCAGAATAGTCACCACTGGGAGTTCAACCATAGTTCAGAGTGCCACTATTAGGATAATGGGTCCTGGGATAAATTACACTTCTTGTGGGAAAGGAACAGAATGTTTGTGTTCCTTGCAGTTGTATGCTGTATAAATCTAGGCAGAATCATGTTTCAGGGAAAATCACAATCAACTAGAGCTGTGTTATCACTCTGACACTTTACACACTGCATGCTCACTAGGAGCAGGGGAAGCATTATGTAATTAAAGAAACAGTGTCAATGTTTTTATTAGCAGCAAAGAGTCCTGTGGCACCTTATAGACTAACAGACGTATTGGAGCATGAGCTTTCATGGGTGAATACCCACTTCGTCGGATGCATGTTTTTATTTTAATCCACATATAAACTTTGCCACCCTGCTGCCTTTTTTAACATGTTGTCAAAAAATATTTTAAAGCTGCATGTTGTTTTCCTTACTTGACACAATGGCATTTTTAAACAGATGTTCCCACTATAATGCAAGTGACTTTGCTTTGGTCCTTCACCCCAGGTGAGCTGGGTGATTGACAGAATCTTGTCAAATCCAGGTAGGTTTTGCTTGTCAGGTGGCCAAAACATGTCACCAGGTAATGTTGGACATTCTACTTAATCATCAGTCCCGTACTGCATCCCAGTGGTAAATTTGGGGCTTTCAGTTTGAGAAGAACTTTAAAGGTTGGGTCTTACCATAATAAGGTCTGTATAAGGCTTCATTCTGCAAGTGGCACAGAAAGCTGGAGTGAACATTGACTTGGACAGCACTGGGACAAGAAGCATCATTCAGTGACTCTTTTTATGCGCCTTATTCTTGTCCTTAGCTGAAACGACTCTTTCATGTGTCCTATTATGTGTCATTGCATTTATTTTTCACAAAAATGTGTCACTTATACAATAGCCCTGATTGTGCATCTGGATTTGTGAGTCTTCAGCAAGGTCCGGGCACAAACATTAAAAGCTAGACGTCTAGCTGACTGTTTGCACCGCAAATGAGATAGACAAATGTAAATCATATGACTCCTAAGAGAGTGAAGGATGGCTCTGAAACTGAACATTTCATGATGAGTTATCATGGCACTTTCTCCCTACCACAAGT